CATATATATATATATATACATATATATATATATACATATATATATATATACATATATATATACATATATATACATATATATATATACATATATACATATATATATATATATACATATATATATATATACATATATATATATATATATATTGTTGAGGCTGTTTTTTCTTATTGTTTGTAATTTAGATATTGAAATGAAAGAAATTTGGTGGTACTCAGTTCAGAGTCTCTTGTGGATATTTCTTCGAACACTATTGAGGCGAGATGTAATTTTGGACCCAGCTCGATCGGCTTAATTGATGCCTTCGGTCGAACAGGTTGTGTACCCTAATAATTATGGCTCGAGCGGTGGCGGCCGAGCCCGCAGATAAAAAGTAATGTCGGGTACAGAGGCAGACCGAGTCGGCCGGCTTGGAGGAGGAGATGAAGACGAGAGCAAAGAGCGCCGAAGCCACCGCGACGGCGATGAAGCCCAAAGTTGCCCCTACCAAGAAGAAATCCAGGAAGAAGCCGTCGGCCTCCTCCTCTGCCAAGGACGATCACCGCGACAAGCCCAAGAAGCCTCCCACTGCTTTTTTCTACTACCTGTACGCCTCTCTTGACCCTAATCCCTTGCTTCTCCGCTCCTGCTTCCGTTGAAAGTTTGCGATTCCCTGTCGGGATATGATATTTCTCTGAATACACCTGTTGTGTGCAGTTTGGCCATTCCGACTTCCGTGATCTGTTTGCTTGTCTAGAGAGGGTAAAGAACGTGTATTGACTTCTCATGTTAAATATCTGAGAAACTCGGCACACTGTTCGTTCACTTATCGCATTATTCCTGGTTGCAAAATGCATCTCGATAGGTCGTAGATGGAGTTGACTTCGCTACGCTAAATTCTTGTTTGCCGTGTGAGAGAAATGGTGACAACGACCAGATTATGTTCCTCATCGTAGTGTCACGAACGGTCATCGCGCACCCGCAACAACTCCGTTCAACGATTCGTTCGTCGCTCTCATCTACATGTACAGCAGCTTGGCAGCATGTTCTATCTTGGCTTTGAGTCATTTTGCTTGTAAAAATGTTAGTTCGAACAAGTTGCAGCACTACAAAGCGATCGCTCACCAAACCGAGCAAAACAGTCCCAAAACAGCCCAAAACAGTTCCGTTTTCGTGTGCCACGGATTGTTTTCTGCAGTCCGCCTCCGCTCACAGAAACGTCAGCCATCTCAGCCCCTTGGAACCCCTCGGGTGGCACAAGGCTGGATGGGGCTTCGGTATAGTGTCGGGCGTTGAACAATCTTTCGCAAGTTCGTACGTTACCTTGACGGGAACTTGTTGTCGCGCCCGGCACCCGATGAGCAGCTGTTTGTGAACTTGCAGCTGTTCGTTCAACCTTCTAAAGTCCTTGTTTTCCCTCTCTCCCTCTTTTCTCTTGTGCACGCAAGGTGCTCGCTGAATTGCTTGTGAAGCTTCCCCTTTTCGCGAGACGTCGGGACTTGTCCGTCGCTCGTTCTTCGAACTAATCAATTTTCTCTTTTTACAGGTCCTTCGGGACCTGCAAGAGGTTGCAAGTGGGTTGATCTTTGCGGACGCAAATCACAAGGGCGAAGCGCGACTTAGGCAACGCAAGCTAAGTTCACGTCTTTGCCGCAAGGGTGCCTCATGCCTTAGGCAATTCCAGCTAAGGCCGTGACATTGTGGTATCAGAGCGGGCAAGCACTTTGAGCGAGCAGCGAAGGAACTTCGCAACTTCGCCATGGCAAAGCATCGTGGCAAATCAAGCAAGACGGGGCAAGCCGGACCCTTGCCCCAAGCAGTCGCAGGTGGGCTGCATGTGCACACTCGCTCTCATGCTATTGGAGCCGCTTAAGAGGAGCACGGTAACGAACATGATGAGCGAGAAGTTGGCTACTCTCCGCGAGCGGAGGAGGCGCAATCTGGAGCGCCAACCGGGAAAAAGAGTCACAAGGAGAGACTCACAACGGCGGAAACCCGCTTGGATGTTCTTGAAGCGAGCTTGGAGGAACTCTACCATGGCCAACAAAGGCTTGTTGAGGTAGAGAGCTCGCAAGAAGAAGCAGAGTCCAGGATCGACAAGGTTGAGGCCCTAGTCGACCGACTGTCTGATGACACCAAAGATTCTGTACAACACTTGCAAGAAGTTGTGGCGGAACTCACTTCGAGGATGACCATGCTCACAAGAGCGCTAAATGCGGGAGGAAGCAACACCCGCGTTGCGCTGCCTCAAAACTTGAGGGCACCCGAGCCTCATGGTTATGGAGGGGCCAGAGATGCCAAAGAGCTCGAGAATTTTCTATTCGACATGGAACAATACCTTTGAGCTACAAGACCTGATTATGAAGAAACCAAAGTTTCCATAGCAACCATGTATCTGAATGGAGATGCAAAACTTTGGTGAAGAACCCGTTGGGAGGAGATCCAACAAGGTCGGTGTCGAGTTGACACATGGGAGGACTTGAAGCGGGAGTTGAGAGCTCAGTTCCTACCGGAGAACACCAAGTTCATCGCAAGAAGGAAGTTGAGACAACTCCACCAAAATACTTCCATCCCAGACTACGTGAAGTAATTTTCTGCGCTAATGCTGGACATCTAAGACATGTCCGAGAAGGATAAGTTGTTCAGTTTCCTTGATGGTTTGAAGCCATGGGCGCAACAAGAACTACATCGAAGGAATGTCACCGATTTGATCGGGGCAATTGCTGCTACAGAAAGGCTCACCGACTTCGTTTCCTCCGAAGACCCGGGAAGAAGGAAACAATCTTCAAGCAATCGCCCTCCAAAATATTCTCGAGGGAAGGAGCTCGAGGGCGAACAAAAGAAGAAGAGTTCCCACAAAGGGCCAAGCCCGAAAGGCAAGGCCCAAAACCTGGCGGATGTTTCTTGTGCGAAGAGCCACACATGGTGAGGGAGTGCCCACAAAAATAGGCACTCAATGCTTTAACAGCTTCCATTCACCCCCCCAAATCGGACAAGGGCAAGGCTGTCGCTCTTAGTTCAAGTAGTTCTGAAGCCAGTAGCGATGATGAGGAGTCGCAAGGACCCCGGATGGGAGCGATGCGTTTGTTGAACGCCATGCGGGGTCAAGTGAGGGAGAACACGAAGACAAAGCTACAAAAAGTAGGTAGTGGTGAGCTGATGTACGTAGACATCAAACTAAATGGCCAAACGACCCGTGCAATGGTGGACACGGGTGCTACCCACAACTTCATTGTCGATCGAGAAGCAAAGCGACTTGGGTTGATCTTGGAGAAGAGCCCAAGTCGGATGAAGGCGGTGAACTTGGAGGCCAGGCGAATCTCCGGGTTGGCGAAAGGAGTTCCCATCAAGATCGGAACATGGAGCGGGAACACCAACATGATGGCGGTGCCACTGGACGACTTCCAAGTGGTTCTTGGAATGGAGTTTATGCACGCGGTGAAGCTGGTGCCATTGTCGTTCCTAAACTCCCTGTGTATGATGGGAGGTGACGACCCCTGCGTGGTTCCCGTCTCTCGGAGAGGAACCAAGGAACCCTAACATATATCGGCATTGCAACTGAAGAAAGGGGTGCGAAAAGGTGAATTAACATTCGTGGCTGCTATGAAGCTAGAGCCACTCGACGAGAAGGCCATTCAAGAACCTGCTGTGGTGGCGAACGTCCTGAAAGAGTTCAATGACGTTATGCCACCCGAGTTGCCGAAGACTCTTCCACCACGCAGAGGCCTGGATCACAACATCGAGCTGGAGCCAGGAGTGAAGCCTCTAGTGAGACCACCCTACCGCATGCCCCCGCTAGAGTTGGCAGAACTCAGGAAGCAGTTAGGTGAACTGCTAAGCGGTGGTCTCATCCGCAGCTTTAAAGCACCATTCGGAGCTCTAGTTTTCTTCCAAAAGAAACAAGATGGGAGCCTCTAACTATGCGTTGATTACCGAGCTCTCAACAAAGTGACAGTGAAGAACAAGTATCCCATCTCGCTCATCGCGGACTTGTTTGACCAGTTGGGCAAAGCCAAGTATTTCTCAAAACTCAACCTTAGGTCGGGGTATTGACAGGTGTGCATTGCTGAAGGCGATGAAGTGAAGACTACCTGTGTGACCAGGTATGGAGCGTTTGAGTTCTTGGTGATGCCTTTCGGCTTAACCAACGCTCCGGCCACGTTCTGCACTCTCATGAATCAGCTATTCAAGGAGTATTTGGATAAGTTCGTGGTCATCTACTTGGACGATATCGTCGTCTACAGTCAAACGCTCGAGGAGCATGTCAAGCACCTTCGGACAATTTTCAAGGTTCTCAGGGAGAACGCTTTGTTCGTGAAAAGGGAGAACTGCTACTTTGCCCAAACGGAGATCTTATTCTTGGGGCATCGAATCGGTGATGGTACCATTCGGATAGACAAATCAAAAGTGTAAGCGGTTGCGGAATGGCGAACTCCAAAAAAGGTGTCAGAGTTGAGATCCTTCCTTGGTTTCGTCAACTACTATCAACGCTTCATAGCGGGGTATTCAAAGTGTACTACTCCACTGACGGAGTTGCTGAAGGAGTAGTCTTGGAAGTGGTCCGACAAATGTGAAATAGCATTCCAAGATCTGAAGGCTGCTGTTCTGGAAGAACTGGTACTCAAATTGCCGGACTATGGAGAGCCTTTTGAAATCCATACAGATGCTTCAAACTTCGCTATTGGGGGAGTACTCATGCAGGAGGGTCATCCGGTGGCCTACGAGAGCCGCAAGCTCAACGAGACCGAGCGGCGGTACCCAGTGCATGAAAAGGAGATGATAGCGGTGATATATTGCCTACGAATTTGGTGACACTACCTTCTCGGATCGCGATTTGTGCTGAGGACAGACAACATCGCTCTGAGCTATTTCCAAACGCAGAAGAAACTTTCCCCAAAGCAAGCACGATGGCAGGACTTCTTGGCTGAATTTGATATGGCAATGGAGTACAAGCCTGGAAAGGCAAATGTCGCGGTCGATGCATTGAGTCGGAAAGTGGAGCGCGTGAATGTCGTACAATTGGAGGGCAGAGGCCAAGCAAGTCAGTTGCACTCCAACTTCCTTTCCAGGATCAGGGATGGACTGTATAGTGACCCCAAGGCAATTATCCTGATACAGCTCATCAAAGAAGGCAAGGCACAACGATTTTGGGTCCAAGAGGGACTCGTGTACACAAAAGGGAATAGGGTTTATGTTCCTCGAGTGGACAATTTGAGGCGTGAACTCTTAAGAGAGTGTCATGATTCCTTTTGGGCTAGACACCCAGGTATTCATCGAACGTTGGC